CATGAGCCAAAGCAAAGGTCACGGACTCTGACAAGAAGCAGCTTTTTTTTTTGCATTGCATTGTTGGAGGAGCCCCGGTGGGTTCAGTGCTGTTAGAGATCCCTCAAGGGCTTCTCAGAACACATCCAGTGTAAAATAAACAGGATCGCATGTCTGTGTCCAGATAAAACATTTAAACGTCCTGCTCCAGTAGACGATTGCAGGCAGACAATACATGCCTTTACCTGTCGGTCAAACATGTGTCAGTCAGAAAGCTTTGAAAGATGGTAATTAAAGGCAGTTTAAATGAAGCAATAAGGTACAAATGTGTAGATTAAATTTTAAAGAACACAGATAAGCATAATAAACAGCCTTGGAGGCCTCATTGCTTTTATTAAAAGGTTAATGTAACAGAAATATTAGGGATGAGTTTTCTTTAAAACAGTTTTTATGAAGTATATTTGGCAGCCATTGTGCATTTTAGAATAACCGAATCGTAGGCAATCAGCAACCAGGACCCAAACTGTCTGGTTTACAATAACTTTTAAATATTCAATTATAAATTAATCAGCAAAAAATAATAAAACTAACGATCCACATATAAAAGCACAATCTAAATCAACTTGCAAACTTAAATACCTACCTTGAATCAAACAAATTTCTAATTTATCTGTTTCGTTTGCACTTAATATATAGCTTTAATTTATTTTGCAGTAATAAATGAATAACTTACTGACTTCTATTACTTGAATTATCTAATATTATTATATATTATTTATTGTACACACATTATGCAGTTCCAATTTTGGGGTTGCCAGTGTTTTATGCTCACCAAGGATCAATTTATCTGATGAAACACAGTAAAAACAGCAATACTGTAAAATATTATTACAATTTAAAATAACTGTTATATATTTCATTATATCTTAAAATGTAATTTATTTCTGTGATGCAGTCTTCAGTGTCACATAATCCTTCAGAAATCATTCTAATATGCTGATTTGGGGCTTTATTTTTATAAGCATTAATTTGAAATATAAATATTTTTTATCAGTTTTATGCATCCTTGCTGAATTAAAGTATTCATTTCTTTAATTGACCCCAAACCTTTTAATGGTAGTGTATATTACTTAATTATTAATTATTAATCCGAATTAAGGTAATTACTGCTTTCTTTAAAAGCGGTAATTTTTTCTCTAACACTGCATGTGTTTGTTGGTTTTACTTCGACATACACTTTCTCAGTCTGTTGAGCATATTTGCAAACCGGAGAGGGGCAGTGGAAAGAAAAGAGATGGCCTTTGACTAAAACCACAAGTCCTACAAAAAGGGGGCCTCATTATATATAAGACCACATATCTATTCTCGGTACAAGATCGAGAGATTCACACAAGCAACAATATAATCACCACACAACCATGTGAAAACAGTTCTGTGTGAAAATAAGAAGGAAAAGAGCGGAACAGACAGCAACAGGTTCAGATGATGACAGTATTTAATGCAGAAAAGCCCATGCTTTAAAAACCAACATAGAACGACACACACTTTCCTTAAAGATGCCAAGGTTACAAAAGTCAACCTTAGAAAGTTTTACAACAGAAAGCCTTGGTCTTACTTATAAGATTCCTATTTTTAAAATATATATTTATTTGGATATTTGACTTTGGATTTCAAGTCAAATAGTACTAAACAATTCAATATTTATTCAAACCTCTCTAACAGTTCCATACAAATGCCTTTTAAAAATATTTTTGACAACACTGTACCTGAGAAAACCCCAAAAAGCTAACAGACACACAGCAAAAGATAACCCCCTTTCAACATTTTTACCAAAATATACTGTATATAATTCATACATTTATTCACTTATATAAAAATACACTGCAAACCCTTGTCTTACTGTTTGTAAGGTCCACAGTGAATAAGAAGAGTTAAAAAACACCTTTCTCTCACAAAAAATATATATTTACACAGATGAGAAAATAGCAGTCCCATACACTTTAATGTAAAAAGTGAAACCTGACTCTAGAGTGCCTTTCTTGTAATTTCAAGTACTCTCCACTCCCAAAAGTGTGGACTCGTCGTAAGAACAGGTTTTGCTCATGTGCTCTTGTTCATTCGGGTTGTAAACATAGTCTTACATCAACGTTTCCTTCACCTTGTTCCTTTTTTAGAAAAAACAAAAACAATGTCTAATATACAATAAGCTTTGATAATAATTATATAAAATGCCCTGGAATTGTGGAGCACATTCAATGTGACACCAATCCAAAAAAATATATAATTTCTAAAATGCATAAAGATATTCATGCTTCACAAGAACAAATACAATTCTTCAAAATGTTTCAGGCGGTATGTGTGTGAGATTTGTGACATTTTTTGTAAGTGTAAAAGGCAAAGCTATATTTTAACAAACAATAAAAATGGTGTTCAAACAATATGAATGCATTTCTATCAGTGCTGTTGTGCCTTTTAAGTCTTTTTCCTCATAACGTTTAAAGGGCATATTCACAGTTTTTTGGAGTTTTTCTCAAAGCAGAAAAGACAAAAGCAAAGCTTTAAAAAACAATAGGTACAACAAAGTCTGATAGTGATGTAAGGCTCTTTTAGCGCTGACATAAAAGCTCAACAAATGTGCAGGGGAGGTTCTGAACGTCGTGAAGGCTGCGGTTGTACACTTTCAGCCATATGCATTGATTAAAGCTGGATTTATGGTTGTGCTACAGAATGCTCAATGTAAATATTCATCAACATTGAATAAAGAAAAAAATAAAGAAGGGAAGAGAAACAGGAAAGGAGAATGAACGGCTACGTGAACATTCAAAACAGTCTACATACAACTGATTTTAATGCCCTGAAAACAATGTGAACAAAGTCTCTGCATCAAGTATGGGAAAATTGTTCAGGGGGCGAAACATTGTCTGATTAATGAACCGCGTTTTATCTTCTAAAGCTCTTGTGTAGTTCGGGTTAGCGATCAAATCTTGATGGCAATCGTCTAACATCTATAAAAGTTGTTTTATTCTAAAGATCTGCCTTGTTCTGTTACCTGGCAGAATTTTTTGTCAATTGTCATTGTGCAAAGGTTACTTAAATTATAAAATGTATTAGCTAACCAGAGTCTAACCAAAAATGCATATGCAGTGCATGCAAGTGCATATTTCGGATCTCAGCTCTTAGAAAGCTCAACATAAAACACATACTGTAGGTCCATGTGTAGGCCAAAAAGAAAACAATAAAATCTAAACTCTTTTTTTGAGTTAACACTGAAGACAGTCAGAGGAGTTGGATTTAACGAGGCATTAATAATGAGGCATTTGGTCTGAAGGCTGAATGAAATTCACAGATTTCAATCCAAAGTATGGCAACCCTGTTGTTAAAGCATATAGCATATAAAGCATATAGGTGCAGACTTGTTCCCAGTTGAATCACAGATGACAATATACTAGCTAAACTACACACTGACCTTTGTTCGCTTTATCAATAGAATGGAAATAGCATATTTTCGCCCAAGGCCTCAAGCTAATAGTGCAAAAACAGGTTTATCAAGGCATGGCGCAGTGCTGTTTTCAGCGAAGTGCATAAGAACGCAAGCGATGATAGTAAGTGTGCAACAGCAGCAAAACACAGCCTGGAAAACTCATCTGTCCTTAGCACGGCAAAAGTCTCCCGTTAAAATCTACGAGACACAAGGGGGATTATCATCATCACTTCATTAAAATGTGTCTGAAAGATTGGTGCCACCCTACAGGACTGCTTTTGTGAAACTAGAATAGCACCGACATGAGGACATTAGCACGAGTACCGAAGCTTCAGCTCATACGCCCTGGAACTTCATCGAAAGAGAGCGAGCAATGAAAAAAGACGCTAAAACGATACAAAACATTCCATAAAAGGCAAAATCGTGCCATTCGAAACATTAGCAAGGCACTAAGAAGCCACAGCAGCAAGAAGCTCTGAATTAAAGTCAGGACATTAGCACGAGTACCGAAGCTTCAGCTCATACGCCCTGGAGCTTCATCGAAAGAGAGCGAGCAATGAAAAAAGACGCTAAAACGATACAAAACATTCCATAAAAGGCAAAATCGTGCCATTCGAAACATTAGCAAGGCACTAAGAAGCCACAGCAGCAAGAAGCTCTGAATTAAAGTCTTTTTTTGTATGCAAAATTAAGTGGTTTAGTTCTCCAGTGGTCCTCTGGTTGCTCGGTTTACCTGTAATATTGATCAAGGTCCATAAACAGAATGACAGCATGCATCGAGGTAATACAGATGACAAAAAAAGAGAAAGAACTTCACAACTTTAGATAACACATAGCTGCTCTGTTGGAAGTTTCAGTACATATGCAAAAATAAACTGTGTGGGTGAAAAAAATTAAAAAGAACTTTAATACGAAAAACATTCACAACATAAACATACTCATCCCAGCACCCAGAACAAAAATCTTCAAACAGCTCCAACATGAAAACTTTCTATTGGACCCAAACCTTCATATATCTGCCGATCGGTGCTCACGTAATGCTTCGGCAGTAAACTGACTGCGAGAGTGCGTGGGATTCTTAACGAAAGGTGTGTTCTCCACGGACGATGTGCGAGGAGAACTCATAGCGATCTTTGCTGCAGTGGCCGCAGATGTTGCACTCGAGTGGGTCTCTGTAACCGTGGCAGCCCATGTGGATGGTGTACATGACGTGGAACATCTATAAAAGTTGTTTTATTCTAAAGATCTGCCTTGTTCTGTTACCTGGCAGAATTTTTTGTCAATTGTCATTGTGCAAAGGTTACTTAAATTATAAAATGTATTAGCTAACCAGAGTCTAACCAAAAATGCATATGCAGTGCATGCAAGTGCATATTTCGGATCTCAGCTCTTAGAAAGCTCAACATAAAACACATACTGTAGGTCCATGTGTAGGCCAAAAAGAAAACAATAAAATCTAAACTTTTTTTGAGTTAACACTGAAGACAGTCAGAGGAGTTGGATTTAACGAGGAATTAATAATGAGGCATTTGGTCTGAAGGCTGAATGAAATTCACAGATTTCAATCCAAAGTATGGCAACCCTGTTGTTAAAGCATATAGCATATAAAGCATATAGGTGCAGACTTGTTCCCAGTTGAATCACAGATGACAATATACTAGCTAAACTACACACTGACCTTTGTTCGCTTTATCAATAGAATGGAAATAGCATATTTTCGCCCAAGGCCTCAAGCTAATAGTGCAAAAACAGGTTTATCAAGGCATGGCGCAGTGCTGTTTTCAGCGAAGTGCATAAGAACGCAAGCGATGATAGTAAGTGTGCAACAGCAGCAAAACACAGCCTGGAAAACTCATCTGTCCTTAGCACGGCAAAAGTCTCCCGTTAAAATCTACGAGACACAAGGGGGATTATCATCATCACTTCATTAAAATGTGTCTGAAAGATTGGTGCCACCCTACAGGACTGCTTTTGTGAAACTAGAATAGCACCGACATGAGGACATTAGCACGAGTACCGAAGCTTCAGCTCATACGCCCTGGAACTTCATCGAAAGAGAGCGAGCAATGAAAAAAGACGCTAAAACGATACAAAACATTCCATAAAAGGCAAAATCGTGCCATTCGAAACATTAGCAAGGCACTAAGAAGCCACAGCAGCAAGAAGCTCTGAATTAAAGTCTTTTTTGTATGCAAAATTAAGTGGTTTAGTTCTCCAGTGGTCCTCTGGTTGCTCGGTTTACCTGTAATATTGATCAAGGTCCATAAACAGAATGACAGCATGCATCGAGGTAATACAGATGACAAAAAAAGAGAAAGAACTTCACAACTTTAGATAACACATAGCTGCTCTGTTGGAAGTTTCAGTACATATGCAAAAATAAACTGTGTGGGTGAAAAAAATTAAAAAGAACTTTAATACGAAAAACATTCACAACATAAACATACTCATCCCAGCACCCAGAACAAAAATCTTCAAACAGCTCCAACATGAAAACTTTCTATTGGACCCAAACCTTCATATATCTGCCGATCGGTGCTCACGTAATGCTTCGGCAGTAAACTGACTGCGAGAGTGCGTGGGATTCTTAACGAAAGGTGTGTTCTCCACGGACGATGTGCGAGGAGAACTCATAGCGATCTTTGCTGCAGTGGCCGCAGATGTTGCACTCGAGTGGGTCTCTGTAACCGTGGCAGCCCATGTGGATGGTGTACATGACGTGGTCCAGGAACAGGACGCGGCAGTGTTCGCACTGGAACACCCTCAGCTCCTGGCCTTCGCGGCTGAAGACGCGGACGCTGTCCCTGGCGGTGACTCGGGTGGCATCGATCGCCCTGCCTTCCTCTGCCCGGCCAAACCCCAGGCTGGATCTCGTCCTGGGCCCGGCCCCACCAAGCTTGTCCCGGGGGCTGCTCCGTGCCGAATCAGCCGAATCCTGTCCGCTGTTGCACGGGGACCCATCTCGGGCCGATTGAGGATTCTTGGGCCTTACCAAGGAGATCGCGCCATTGGTTGGGTGCGGGAACTCTGGGTTCGGGTGGGGCAAAGACAGAGGCTCGCGACTGCTGGGACGGTCCATGCGGGGCCCAAGTGGGTACATCGGATGGAAGAGCGGGTTCACCATAGGCAGCACTTCGGCCATGGAGAGGGATGGGTGATGAACCACAGGCCTCAAGGAGTCGGCGCCCAAGTAGTTGATGGCATTGGCAATGGAGTGGTCCATCAATTGGGCATGCATTACCTCAGCTTCCTTCTCATACTTAGGGCCCATCTCATAGCTCAGCTCGGGGTACGAATAGCGAACCATTTTCTCACCTTAACAGACAATGCAATAAAAGATACATTAGGAACAGCCCCAAAGTATTTTCCATAATGATAAAAAAATAGACTAACCTTGCAATGTACTGCAAAAAGTGCATTTAAAGTACTGTTGCTAGGGTTTTGTTGCATTAATGACGGAAAGCCCCGTTTGGAGACCGAAGTGAGAAAATTTAACCCCTGCATAATATGGATGCGGTAAACTGCTCTGGCGTAGTCAGTAAAAGCAATGGCAAAGTTACAGGTGTGCAAAAACCACAGAATGAAAAAAAACAACAACTCCTACTCAAAACTTTTTCTCTCTCTCTTTCACTTTAATACTTAGTTTGATTTCCGCAGTTATTGTCATTACAACACATGTAATGAGTTTAATTTCAAATAATGTTTAATGTCTCTGATAAAGTTGTGCTACTGTGTATATATTTGATCTCTTTTAAAAAATGTTCCATGACAAATTAACTATCTCTTTATTTTTTTAAATGTAGTTCTGCTCTCTGTTCCTTCATGTGGAAACTCAGCGTTCACTAAACGGTTGCATGTGGTATTTCAGCTCCAAAACCTGCATGTTACTCACTAACCACCGGCAATCCAGTTTAACCAGGCGCTAAATGCTCTGAAATAGTAATGTGCTGTATTTAAATAAACCATTGTCTTTATTTGTGAGACTTTCTGAATTAGACCTATTATAGCTTGTGCCTAATTCACAAAACCCAGCCCTATTTGCCTGACACAATTACCGTTGCTCCTACAAAAAGTAGAAGGTACTCGTTTTTGTGTACATTTGTAATGATTATTGTGGAAGTAATTTATGAAATGACGATTAAGCAATGAAAAAGTAATAATCAGATATATGCACTTTAGACAAGCTTTCTTTTTAGCATTTTAGGACCCAACTCAAGAGGCCCATTTTGGCCGTGAATGTGCCGTTACCTGATTTAAAACAACACAGACAGCACGTCCATTTTGCATTATGCACATACAGGGACTATATGTGTGAGGTTGAAAATGTTTCTTACGCCATGTGACCTGCCTGCGTTGATTTTGAAGTGAACTTTGAAGATCAGTGTGTTGCATACAGTAGATTCAACCACATTTACTGCTGAGGTGACACTTACCCACAAACTTCTGTGGCGTGGTGCTCTTCCGTTTACCCACATTCCCCTGCAGTCTTTCAATTACAGGAGGCCGGTCAAAAGCCGCCATCCCAGCGGCCTCCAGCTGCCTCTGCTCCTTTGGTACCTCCCCTGGGAAAATGATAAAATGATTCAGCATATCAACAAAGCTGGTCCATAATACCTGGAGAAAACTATTCACTATCATTCCCATGAATCTGAAAGTTTTGCAGCCAGTTTGTTTTGAGTCACAAATTCTCTGGAACTGTCAAGACTATGCTGATTTTACTAAGAATGATAAGTTTGAGTGAGTTTAAATTGAGAAATAAGTTTATTGCTGTCAGATAGTGTGGTTCGGACCAAACTACCAATAGAGGCTAACCAGCAAAACCCCTTGGTGTCAACAAAATGTACTCCAGAAAGGTTTAAAGTAGCCATTCGATGTTGGTAATTCATATTTATTTTGTTTCCAAGAAACATACTAGCTTGTGGAACACCGTTGTGTCATCCAACACCATAACAATTTCACAATAACACTAGATAACACAGGGGCTAACCATGCTAACCAGCAAAACCTTGACCACTTGGTGTAAACAAAATGTACCCCACAAATGTTACGTTTAGCAATTCTATGTTAGTAATTAATATTATCTTGTTTCCAAGAAACAGACCAGCTTGTGGAACACCGTTGTGGAACAAGGTTTTCACAATAAGTCAGCATAACACCATATCAATGAGGCGGAAAAACGTCATCTTAGATTCTCAATGAAGTCATAAGCCACTCACCTGGATACGGGCCAGGATTGGAGGCAGAGTCCATGCCGACGCTCTGCAAGTAATTATGACACCGTTCTTTGTGCTCCTCCAATGACGTGCGCTGCTTGTAGCTCCGCCCACAGTAGTTACACTTATGTGGTTTGCCCACTAAAAAGACATCAAAGAGTAGCAAAATAAGTATTAAGATGTAAAATAACTCATTCAGACCGCTCACACAAATGAGTTTCGGTCTCCAACTGAGTAAGCAAGAAAGTGGGCACAGCCAGATTTTCGTGATGATGCAACCACTACAACACGGTGGGGGGGTTTGCTCCATAGAATTACGTACTATAGTAGTAGTATTTGATGTTGTTTTATCGTCATCGATCTGTGATTGGCACCACGAGTGATGACTTGGAAAGTCTCTTTGAACAATAAACAGAAATGGAGTGAGTGTTTCTCCTCAGCCGGATAAGGTGTGAAGTGATTCACAGTCAGTTTCACTAAGATTAGGTCAGTGCAAGGGCGATAATGCGGGACAGAACCTCCCAAAGAAAGATGCAAAAGGAACAAGCACCTTGTCCTTCCGTCGTGGGCAGAGGAGAGTAGGAGGAGGACGATGCTTAGCCTCCAGAAACAGATGTGAGTTTTCCAGTAGCTAATGGAACGATTCGTTCTTTGATTCATTCCGAGCTTCATTCATCAATAGTTTGAGTCATTCATCTACCTGTCATGTTTTTCTCCTTCACTCATCGGTATCAAATCGGAACATAGCCCACCATTACGTCTGCGCTGTTCTGTTATGTCAGCTAAAAACCTAATTGAATTTGAGACAGGGGCTGCTTTCAGCTCTGTGGTCAATCCTCTGGTAAAAGGGACTTTCAGAATTATTCATAAAGAGCGCGGCAGTGAAACAAAACAGCCTAGTGAATTGAGTCATACTGTATGAACGAAGTTAACCAGTCTCTTACTGCACGTGAGAAAATTATGAAAATTCACACCTGTTACTAGCAAGCCTGTGGGATTACCTGTAAAGTGTGCCAATTGTAAAAATACCCCCTACACTTTTCGGTAACCCTCTTCAAAGCGCTGTAGTGCTTTCAGTCTGAAGCAAACAGTGAAAGTGAGAGCTACTGACTGAGACGCTGTGAAGTGACCTTTCGCATGTAGAACGCATGTCAAACAACGGAGGCCCTGTCACTTCTGTGGGAAAGGATGGATTACAGCAACAGAAAAAATTGCTTTGGTTCACCTGGAAGACAATGTATCATACATTATATCACTGAAATTTCCGATTCTGTGGGTCGAAATTGTTTATAGTGTAACTAAGCTCTAAAAAAAAAAAGAAAAGAAAAAAATATATATATATATTAATAAACAAAAATATTATAGATTTTAAATATTAAATATTATATGAATATTAAATAAATATATTTTAAATACTATGAATTATTTTAAAATATTATAAAATAAAATACAATGTTTTTATTTGTAGAAAAAAAATATATATATTGTTTTACAATAACAGTATATATATTATTATTTTCCAAAATTCATATAATACATTTTCTTCATAAATTATTAACAATTTATAATATTATAATATATAATATTGAAATAAAATAAATATACATATAAAAATATAAATATATATGCTTATATGGCATTCACGTGAACTTTCACACCATATCAACTGTGAAGAATGACTAAATTCCCTTATTATTACTACACTTAAATAGTCTTTCATGAACGTGGTCTTTATGTCATTGTGTAAATGTCAGGTAATCAAGGGATCTAGGGCAGACATCTATACGTCAATAGTTTTGGGGTCTTTATATGTCAGTGGGTGACTGTATTGGAAACAGTTTCACCTGATGAGACAGCTCTGAAAGTGACATTTTTTGTCACACTTTCAATATTTCTAATAAACCCGAGGCTTTAAAAATTTAGGTGTGCGCATGACAGCACACGAGAAATGGGTTGGAGCAGACATACAGAGGATATAGTGCATCCACACTGACAAATGTACCCTATAAATGGAGAAAAAAAGAGAACTGAATCGTTTGGTTCAATGAACTGTCAAAAACACCTGCAAACTGCAAAGTCTGGGATAGTTATTCACGCTAAAATTCAACAAAGAGAAAGATGCGAACTCGTACGGTGCGAAAGAAACGCAACAAGCTGTTTCATCGATTAATAGCAGCTGCTCAAAACCCTATGAGTTCCTGTAGCAAAGTTTGGACGAATCAGAAAAAAAATCCCTGTCTAAGCACTTATTCAAATGCAAATTCATGCACATAGTGCTGCATTAAAGCCCTCTAAACCGCATCCATTCGGGTTGAAAACAGGAAACAGTGAGATGAGGATGACATTTCATTTCAAGCAAATGCCTATCAATTGTAGAGCATCAGCAAAAGTGCTCGACTTACACAACTGGTAGTTAAACACGCACACAGCTTAAAGCATACTCTCCCTGAATCAAACGTTGGCCACTCACCTCACGTTTCAAAAACAGCCAAAGCAACCCAAAGCAAAGTCCCCAACATTATGACACACGCCTAAAACTGTGGTGCAACATATGCTGTTTCAGTTTCATCTTTTAGAGCACGTTTGTGGTCTGCGTGCATGCATATGGATTCCAGTGACAGCCGTTAATCAACGATCGGATAGCCAATGTTTTGCAAGTTTTTACTCCCTCTTAACTTTCCTGGGCTGTTTGCCACCAATCCTCCGGTTGCCAAGGGCCAGAGAGGAAAGGGCCTTTCATGTGGCGCCCGTTGCACAAGAAGCCATCAGACCTGCTAAGTCACTCGCATTCCACTCCAACTGAGGTTGCTGGCGGGAAGGCGGACGGGTCATCGAGGAGTGGGGATGGACTTATGGCAAAAAGGGCGAGACCGCCCTGGGCGATGTTGCTGCTTAGGTTACTCCTTAAAATGACTCCAGCAACAACTACACATCTCACACTGTGGTAGAACAAAGCTTTCTTGTGGCATCTCCTTACAATGCCTTTAGAAAATTATGTGCAAATTAGTTAATGACTCTCATCGGCCACAAATGTTTATATACTGAGGTAGTTTGGTGCGTAGGTTTTGGTGGTAAAAGTTCTCGCACTGACATTTGATATCAATATGATAGACCACAACACACACACACACCACAAATTTTGCATAGTTAGTTATTAAATGATGGAGAATCTATACTACCAGGCTGGATACACCTACTCGTTCTGTATCATGACTACGATCAAATAATAGTAAAGTCATCAAAGCTATAAAGTAAGTCAAATGGAAGTAATTGACCAAATAAGTTTTAAATTGAAAGGTTTTGTAAAGAAATTCATGCTTAGGCACAATTTACCATTAAAAAGTTTGTGGTCAGCAAGACTGTATTCTTACTTTGTTTACATTTTTTCATTAATGACGAATTAAATCGATCAAAAGTGACATTTATAGTGTTACAAAATATTATATCTGAAATAAATGCAGTTCTTTTGAACTACCGAAATCAGCATATTATAATGATTTTTGAAGGATCATGTGACACTGAAGACTGGAGTAATGGCTGCTGAAAATTCACCTTTGCCATCACAGGAATAAATTACATTTGACAATATATTAACATAGAAAACAGTTATTGTGAAATATTACTGTTTTTACAGTATCTTTAATCAAATAAATGAAACAAAAACATTTTAAAATCTTAACAACGGGAGTGTATTTAATATAAAATTGTATCAATTTGAAGAGGGCTAATTTCAAATATTTAGATCAAACGGTTTTTAACACAGTATCATGAGAAACAGAAATTCAGTCAATTGTATGAACAAAAACAGATGGTGGTCATCAGCCCTAAAAAAAACCCACGACCATCAGCGCATATGTGAAACCAAAATGTAGCTATGTCTTTAAGAATGATTTCATAAATTCTGCCCACAAAAACAGGACACCACAGACATCAGCTGCCTGGCCTAAAAACTGCGTTATCCCTGCGCTGTGATTAGAGCTGCAAAACAGGAAATGACAAAAGACGAAGAAAGGCAGCAAAACACGATGAGAGTGATAGGTCGCTCCTGCTCTCCCTGTGCATTTTAACCAAGCCATCCCTGAGTGACAGCTCGTGAAGTCCTGAGCCGAGCGCTGATGGTATCATATGACCCGGATCTTCAACGATGAGGACTAGACAACTGATGGTGGGCTGATATGAAAGTGGGTTAGAGAGTGATGCTTCACCAAAGCGACACTTCCCTTTGGTTGACAGAGAGCATTTCCTTTGGTGGAGTGCAAGACTTGCAGGCAACACAGCAGCATGTCCTAGGTGGCCTAACCACAATGTTTGCTAGGCTTCTCTATACACGTCCCTCAGGACAGAAGAGCTCTGCTCAATTTTTCCAGAGCATGTCAGCTGTGGTCACAGAACCACAATCGTTTTGTAGGCTACAACACACATTAATACCGCACTACCACCCATAGATGTGTCTTCTTATAGCAATTGCATAGAGTTGTGGGAGCCTGACCTGAGTGTGTGCGCAGATGACCAGTCAGGGCGTCACGGCGACGGCAAGCGTAGCTGCAGAACGGGCATTTGAAGGGCTTCTCTCCTGTGTGGAGTTTGATGTGCCTCAGTAGGTTGCCCTTTTGAGTGAATGAAACCCCACACTGGTTACACTGGAACGGCCGGTCACCTGATGGACAGAGGATGAACAGAGTCACGAACAAGAGACATGCTGATGTTAAAAACCATATAAATACTGCAGTGTTTTCAGTGTAGCTGTCTTTATATAGACTGTTCACCACACATCACATGCAGGGACTGCTGTTTCCACTCGAGGTTGGACGATATATTTAATATAAAAATATAAAATGAAGCAACATTCAGACTTTTCAATAGTGCCTTTGATATAAACTTCAGTGGAAAAAAATGGTGTAAGATTTGTAAAATGTATTTACACGAATCAGTCTATTTAAATGACTCGTTTGCACCATCACTCATTCTTACACTCTAAAAAATGCTGGGTTGTTTCAACCCAACTTTGGGTCAAATATGGGCTAACCCAACTTTTAGGTTAAAAAATTTAATTTAAAAATGTAACCCAACAGTTGGGTTAGTCCATATTTGATCCAAAGTTGGGTTGAAACAACCCAGCATTTTTTAGAATGTAGTTAAAATGTATACAACCATAAACTCATTTCTGAAACCAAAATGTCTGCATATCCTGAATATGGAGTCTGATTCATTTTCATAAATTGGTTCAAACTGATTCAATGAATTGATTCAAAACACTATTTCAAAGAGTCATTTGTCATCACCCATAAAAACTGACAAAAAAATGTCAAGGCATTTGCGTAGGTACATACTGCTGTTTATATTGAGGAATATAAATAAAATGTATTTAAATTTGTTGACATACAGTACTAATCAGTACATACAGTACTACAGTTTTTTTTTAAAGAAATTATATTTTGTAGCATTGATGTAAGTTACATAGATCAAACATGACTGTAAAGACACTTTTACAAGATTTCTAGATTTATAAGATTTATTTTCTATTTTTTTTCTATTTCTGCTCTTTTGAAATAATAAGAAATTTTTTGAGCATCAAATAAGCATATTTTGATGTCTGAAGGATTATGTGACACTAAATACTCGAGCAATGACTGCTCGAAATTCAGATTTGCCCTCACAGGAATACATTTTAAATATATTAACACAGAAAACATGTATGTTAAAGCGTAATAATATTTCACAAAATTATTGTTTTCACTGTATTTTTGATAAAATAAATGTAGCCTTTGTGAACATGAGATTCTTTCAAATACATTTAAAAAAATGAATGGTAGTGCATTTTCATTTAATGAAGGCATGTCTTGAACATTATCTAGATTTTTACTGCCTTTTCCTTCTTAAAGGGGTCATATGATGGGATTTAAATTTTTCCTTTCTCTTTGGAGTGTTACAAGCTCTTGGTGCATAAAGAAGATCTGTAAAGTTGCAAAGACTAAAGTCTCAAATCCAAAGAGATATTCTTTATAAAAGTTAATACACGCCTCCATATGTCTACGTCACTATGTGGGAAGATTTGCATAACGCCGCCCAAATGTTCACGCAAAGAATGAAGGCGTAACTTTTATTCTCTCAGTAGTATTGTTGTTGCCGCAATGTCGTGAAGGCTCTGTGTGTTTCATTGTGAAAGCAAAACTACTTTGTTTGGCCTTCCAAAAGAGGACGATATCTGCTTCGTCATGCCTGGAGCTGATCTGGGCTGGTCGCTGAGGAAATACATCAACTTCGCGCTGTGGATCGCCGGATCGGCTTTCACCGTGGACGAAGCGGAGTCCAGCCCGGGGTCGTCACATGTGGTTGCCGCAAGCCTGCCAGCCACTCCTTCGTCGAATCCGCCGGCCGTGCCTTTCTTAAGCCCGCCAGCCGTTCCTCATTCAACCCGCCCGCCGCCGCTCACTCAAGCCCACCGTGTATGATGCTGTGTGTTTTGTTGTGAAAGCGCAACTACTTTGTTTGGCCTTCCAAAAGGAGACACGACTAGAAATCAGTGGATAAGCTGTATTTACAACACTGTTGCAGAACAGTTCAACCCAAATATTCAGATGTGTGCAGCGCATTTTATGGAGGACTGTTTCCTGATCCTGGAAGAGTAGACTACAATGCCGGCTGTTCTGACTCACAGTCTGTAAGTATGTTTTCATATTTAAAGAATTTGCCACTGACGATTCAAACGCGAGTTTTGAGCAGTGTAGAGTAGCGCTTCTTGTTTGTAATTTCTCCAATCACAAATGCAGACATGGTTTTTTATTATGTTTACGTGGCGCGATGCAACGCAATGCGTAAAAAGACAGTATAAGTCATTATAATCCGTAATTATGTCTCCACTGGATGCAACAAATGCCTCGTTTATAATGGGTTTTAATGTTATTGTCTCGTCACTCCGGCCGGGACACTGACTGCATCACAGTATGGTAAGGGGCATAACATTTCCGTCACACGCTTGAGGTATTCGGCCAATCACAACGCACTGGATAGCTGGCCAATCACAACACACCTCGCTTTTCAGACCGATGAGCTTTGTAAAAATCGACGCGTTTCAGAAAGGCGGGGCATAGAGGAGAAACAATAATGTACAGTATGTGGAAAATAATGTGTTTTTTTAACCTTAAACCGCATAAACACATTTCATTACACCAATATACAAAATAATGTTCTTTTTAGCAACATCATATGACCCCTTTAATTATACATAGATTTTGAGTTTAATTGGCTAAAATGACAGTTTGGTTCAAATAATGTTTCTCTGATTGAAAATAATGACCCGTATTAAACCTTTTTTAAGCTAATATACACACAGTTACATAAATTCATTACATTTATTAAAAAATATTAATTATATATACATTTTCAATGTATCACCCAGCTATACTGCCACCAAAGAATAATGTGCACTAGCTGTTGTTTAAACATAGTATTGCGTAAACGATACCATGTGACCTCCATCATTGCCACTGCCACCAGATGAGCACTCCTAAGGATCTAAAAAATGTCTTTAACAGCTATGATAACTATTCTAAATCTATCGGATACAATTTTCAGGTTTTGTTGATTGTGAACTTAATTATGTTGAAATAATTGGATTACTCATGCATTAGACCTGCTGCGTGAGCACCTGCTCTAAATATAGCCTGTGACTCTAAAACACACATCTGATGGACACAGAAATTTCAATCATCGGTTTCTCTAACCCCACGTTGAGCGTTAGGATGTTGCTGTGGCTTAATTAGTTGAACGTTTTCTCATTGTGAGCGGAGATGAGAACCTGGAAAAGTGAAATATGACCCTGTACTGTTAGCGTGTAGTCTGGTAGTATCAACATCAGCCCTGGGCTTGGGAACAGGTTGTGGAGGATTCCTGGGATGTTTTCCCTCAGAATAACTCCTAGTCTTAACTATTGTCTTCTTACAGAACAGCTACCCACTACACACCCTTTTAACATTGAAAAAAGGAAGAACGCAAGAGTGACAAGCCTTGGTCACGAAAGGGTTTTGCTACTTTAATGGGAAGTCAGTGAAATGTGTCTAAACTGTCTAAACTTACTTGAGAAGTGTCACAATGAATTTAGGCAAATCATTTGCACTTCGAATTGTTAGATTATGGTGCCTTGCATAAAATAAATTTTTCTTTTATAAAATATAAATATATTTATCTTTTATAAATATATATGTTCTTTTAAAATTTCATGTTATTTATACCACACATGTTATTAATTCTCTGACTTTTCCATACATTTTCTGTAATTTTATGAGTATGATAATGTATGTTGAGCTGTTCAAGTCCTCACAAACACCCATACTTAGCTGAATACATTTTTAGATGAGAGCAATCCTAGAAGAAATATATTCACTTTAGAAGGTTCCCACTTATAAATCATACAGAGTGAGTTTTTTGAGAAAGTAAAAATGCACAAAGTTTCCTGTAATGGGTAGGGTTAGGTGAGAGGGCAATAGCACACAGTGTGTACAGTATAAAAACCATTACGCCTATGGAATGTCCCCACAATTCACAAAAACAAGCATGTGTGTGTGTGTGTGTACAAAGTATTAAAAAGTATTTTCATTTTTTTAATATATATATATTATACATTTATTTACCATTCGGCAGTCTTATCCCCGTCTCACTCTGCACTTCTGTTCCTGGCCCAGCATCTTGTAAGTTATTTGGGCTGTCAATCATGGGCTCCTCCAATCCAGAGCCTTCTTCACCGCTGTGTCCTGCCTCATCCGGCCTTCTCTCCGTCTCCTCCTCAGTACCTTCCTCTTGTTTGATTGTGCGTGCTGTAAGAAAACATTCAAGCTTCTAAACGAGTTTTCACACACTACAAAACACAAAAGTCAGACTTCATCGCCCACTGCACACGCTACAGTAGTTTCCATACACATGATCAAGAACTAAAGTGTGAATTGCGACTCTTTTGAAATCACTGGTTACTATGAGAGCACAGTGACCAAGAAATCTGTCCTCCAACACGATAACAGTATCAGGATGACAGCAAACAGGAAAAAAAGGCAGACGCAGCTGTAGTCTCTAGTGTAGTGAGGCAAACGGTGGGCAGGTGGAGTTCTACATGACTGACAGTGGGAGACAGCGTAGAGGAGGTGGGCCAGCACTTTGGTCTGGACTGAGCGGGCCTCTCCATTTATCGCAGCGCGCAGGCTGTCAAGCACCTCCAGGGAGGCCACCCCCACACGTGCAGACACACAGAGCGTGACAAAAATAGACATGCAAAGGGACGTATAAACACATAGCGACACGTAAACACGCGACAGCCCGGCCCTCAAGTTTTCCGTCTCGACCACGCACACTCTCCAGGTTTCACGACAGGTGGAAAAATAGCAGGCAGCTTTCTACACCATCCTAACAAACCTGTTTGTAATTTTACCGTGAGTTTAATCTCTGGGCGAGAGTTTGAGACTAAGCTTTGAGTCACCTTCATCTTTCCCGTCCGTGTGAGTGTTGTCCTTCAGGCAAACCGCTCTGCTGCTTCGCTAGATCTGAGTCACAGTCTGCGAGTATTACTGAAATCTCTCTGATCCCCCTAAAAAAGGTCAGCAGCTCCCAATCTTCGCAGACGCTCACAACTGAGCAATATCACTCATAAACACTATTCGGATGGGACTAGTTTTCCCTGAGGAGGTAAGGTGTGTTTCACAAACATACTTTGTGATCTGTCAGAACAGCATTTTTTCCTCAAGCAATCTTGGCAAAAATTATTAAGGCAATTTACCCATAGTTTTAGACTTCTTCTGATTATATTGACCTTTGAATAGTGTAAGTAAGGCTAAATTTGTTGTTGTGCTCCCCAGTGCAACCTCATTATGGATTTTCTCCTTTTTGCCAACTTTAACAGCTGGTGACTCAAGTTCTCATCTTATTGAATGTAGAAAAAAAAATGAATTCAATAAGCAAAGTCTGATCAGTCTGAGTGTGAGGTAAACTCCATTAATTCATCCATTAAGCATATTATATTATATTATATAGCATATCAGAATTATTTCTGAAGGATCATGTGATGCTAAATATTGGAGTAATGGCTGCTGACAATTCAGGAATAAATTAAACTTTTTTATATATTCAAAAAGAAAACAAAAATGCAATTTCACAATATTACAGTTTTTACTGCACTTTTGATCAAATAAATGCAGCCTTGGTGAGCATAAAAGACTTCTTTCAAAAAGCTTAATGATTCCAAACTATATATGTTAATTATAAGATATAAATCTTAATTATTTCAAAAATATTTAGGTATAATTGGTATATAAAAATGGTAATTAAAACATTTTTAAAAATGGCACATTTTACAGCACATGACCTACTGAAAAGCCCTAATCCAATACACATTCTCACCCCGGTGTCAACTAATAAGACCCCCATCCCATTCGAATCAGTTTAGAAAATCCCTTCCAAGTAAAGCTATACACAGACTAAAATTACTGTCAAATATATCAAGCTTGATATCTGTTTGAATCTCTCAGTTTAGAAACTGTTTACACACGATAACATGCAGGTTCACAGAGCTTTTGAAAGATAATTTCTGTGTGGCAGTGCCACAACGATGACCCTCACTTCACCCGTTGGCAAGTATTACAAGCGTACTTGCTTAATATTGTATAAGAGATCTTCACTTTCAAAGAAACATGTATGACTCGCAATAAGAACGGCAAGCCTTGGTGCACAAAAGAAAAACTTGCTCTATACCCACAGCAAATGCGGTGCAATCCTGTCAACACATCACAATCGAACACCGTTACCTTAATGTGACGAGATGTATGTTTTTCCAATTTCTATGTCCATTCTGCCAATCACTGACCTCAGAAAACAGCTCTAGCATACATGCATGTGTCTAGTTATGGAGTGTCTATGATGGCTGCAGCTGAGTGAACTTGAAATGGTTGCCGGGACAACATACAGAATCCTTTAGCATTCTCATCATCAACTGATCAAAAGGAGATGAATGAGAACAAAATGCACTCAGTGCTGAGGATACATACACCCCCGAGCCAGCGGCTAACAGGCTCACATGACAAAAGCAGAGTAAACCGACATAGTCAGATGCATAAATAATGTGTCAGGTCTCTTTCTATTAAAATTTCACCGTTGCAGAAATTCTTCTGGCAAAAGGCTTTAAATAATTTCTGCACATAATGATATAGTCAAATCTGCGCATCCCTACGTCTCCGAGTGCAAGCACGGGGTTAACTAAACCAAATGTGTAGATTAGACTTCTCTTTACCCAGTAACATATTTCTCAACGTCCTGTGCAACATGACCAATAAATTATCTAGAAGAATAATCTCCATCTGGGATCATGGTCTGCACCTCCATCTTTCAGTGGCGAGCGCTTCCCTTTTCTCAGTATGCAAGCTCATGCTGACAAGCCCTCCATCGTACCAGCAGTTGATTTGAGGAAGGGACATGACACAGACTGGGCCTATCCCGTCGTATCGTAGATCAAGCTGCAACTTCTATTTTTTAGACTGCAAGATAAAGGTCCTTCCTCTGTCCCTTGCGAGCTGATACTCACTCATTTCTCCTTTTTCAGATATTTTGCAATAGAAAGTGACATACTGTACTTCTTATTGTAAGGCTAAAGGGATAGCTAACCAAAAATTACAATTCTGTCAGCATTTGCTCTCTTATTTCAAGCTATAAAAAAGGATGTAAAAGCACTACAAATATTGTGTGCTCTATCTCAAATGTTCTGAAGCCATATGAAAGCTTTGTGTGAAAAACAGATCAATTCAGCATTTACTGATAATCTTCCTTTTTTAGTAAGCTGTTATCATGACAACTGCTGCAAATGAATCAATGTATCATTGAGTTGATTCAAACGAACAAATCATTCAAAACATCTTTTATGAACTGAATCAGTGATTCCTTAGTCAAAAGAACGATTCACTTGTAAAACAGAGTTTGTTACTTCTGCTTTGTGAGAGATGTTTTCATGGAATAATGACTGAAATTGTGTGCTTTTCCTCAATTAAAGATATTATATGATTTGGAAGACTTTCGATATAGTCATATGGCCTACATTTATGAACTTTTGCATCCTTTTTGCAGCTTAAAAAGCTCCAGTCATGATCCTGTGTATTACACGAAAAGAAAGAAAGTCATAAAGGTTTGGAATAACACATTCCCCAGGAAAAAAAAGGTGCAAAGCTGTAACTGGGGCGGTACCCTAAGTATAAATGCTATATATACCCCCCCCCCCCCCCCCCCCCCCCCCCCCCCATCATTTTGGGTGAACTATCCCTTTAAGATAATCGAATCAATGCAGCACATCTAAAACAAAGTCAAATGAAAACAGGTATTGCTGGGAGTGGACTTGTTAGAAGACAGGCCTACTCACCAGCAGGGGAATCAGGACTTTGGGAACGTTGGCCATTGGGTGTGCTAGTCAACAAGTCCACCAGCATTCTCGAGTTCTCCTTCCTGGGAGAGCAGTCGCCGTTACCTAGGAGACAGACAGAAACAAGTGCGCTGAAGACATCGCCTTGCTCCAGGCAGCATAGCTATTGTGGCTAAATACAGCTCTGAACTCAGATCTATACAAGCAGACATTTCAAGGAACACCTTTCATAACTGCTGCACTTGGAGATTATCAGTCAAAGAAGAAATTGAATAAAGGATAACTGCAACAAAAACTATTCTAGATTTATTTCTTACTGTCATTTATTACTCAAATACACTTTCAACTGTAAAACTTTGTACTGAATACTGGTTATTATACTTTTTACAGCAATTTATTTACTGTTCAAAACTCTATTACAGTTCTGGTCTGAGATGCCGAATGGTTACTACAGTGTTCAACACAACATAGCAACAGATATGAAGTGAAACACTTGTTCAACTAGTCACTGTATACTGTATATCACTCATGAAATAATGTTATTTTTTACATATCTAGGACTATATCATCTAAAAGAAAGATAAAAGTTAAAATAATGTAGACTTCTGTTTAAATCTACTCCCTACTGCATTCTGCTTCTTAACACTCTTTATTTACTCTATCATACAACTCAAATATACCACCTAAAATGTAAAAAAAAAAAATGTTTTACTGATTTATTAAACTGAATATTTTTAATTATATTATATAATACTGACATAATGTAATAATGCATATACAAATATTTATATAATTTAACAGTTACTAAATTAAAAATGATATTTTTAGGTAAGCTGTGGTCCATTTAAATGAATGAAATAAATAATACACATTTATTTATGTATATCATTATGTCTATCATATATACATATTTTTATTTGACTCAAAACATAATTTAATATTTAAAATAATTTTAATTAAATAAAATGACTGAATCAACTCGACTGATTAATTTACACAACAACTGCTTATATTCACTTTCTGTACATTGGAATCCTCTAAATATACATCCATCTGAAATGTTCTATGATCCTCCATAATACTCGTTGATAACTTGGTAAAGGAGAGCAACATACAGTATCCAATGGTTTTCAGGTACTGTATACACTGCTTTTAATAGCACCCGTCTCTGTTACCGGAGCTGAAATTTCTCTAGGGTCAGTGACCAGCTCAACACATCAGTATACAGAGACGGTGTGCCATCATCTCATGTGGGGAGAGCTTGTTAAGCTTTCAGCCACATCCTTAAGATTCAGATTGGATTTCCTCATCTCTCCGCACCCGCCACACACCGGCTTCGGGAAATAATACAGCTTCAGCGCGTCCACTCAGGGGGAGCTATTTCTGCTCCCTGATCCCGTTACCCACTGACCCCTTCAGAGCCAAACACTCAATACAACGGCAACGACATTAGACGGCTCTTAATGCTTGCATTATGCATACACACAGCCACCAAGGGTGGTATTGCGGCTTAGATCATTCCTTGAACTCCGCGTTTATGACTGGAAAGTACCTTGGATGTCACAGTTAAGCTGGCTGTTATATCTCTAACCAATGTACTAAATCTTGTCAGTCCCTCCTTCAAACAGGCTTGTTGTGTAGCAGAGTCAGTCTGCCAAAGGGCTTTAAAACAGTATTCATGGCATTTTTAATAATTCATTTGCCTGTATTGTTTTTGTGAATCAACAAGTCCTATTTCAATCCCCAAACTATTTTAACTTTCATGCCCTATAAAAGTTTTACATTTGTGATTAAAGTAAATGAATCAGTAAATGAGGGCCTTTGAGGTATATCAAGCGACAGATATCTGTGCTGTCATGCTGGCAGACGGACACTGTCATTCTGACAGGGAGAGCAACTCAGGGAGACGCAGCCAATGACACAATCCCAAAGCCCATCTCTGGTTACGGTGCCGGGGTTGAGGGAAATCTCAGGTAACCGGCAGTCCCTTGGCAACGGGAAACAAGCAGCCACTCCGATTTGAGTGACGGCCGAGGGGAGGATTTTCCATAACAGAACGCTGTGTCTGATGGCCTCCTGGCCTGAGAAAGGTTCTCAGGAAAAGAGATCTGTGAGAGTAAACTAAACTCTTGTACAGTAGCGACTGAAACCGCTCTCTTATCCCACATCTAAACCGAACCCTGATAAATATAATTTCCAATGCCAAGCACATGCTACAAGACATAAGTTTATTACCCTGTGCATGTTTAAAGACTCACAGCTTGTCTTTAAAGCGCGTCTTTAGATTAATTTATAGTATGTAGTACACGCAGTTTCTTCAGTCAAAAATATAGAAAAACAGTATTATTGCTAAATATTATTACAATTTAAAAGATGTCTTGTTGCCTGCTGTTTTGAGATCGAGACAAATGACGAATGTCTTTCTTGATGGCTTGTGTTTCCTGACAGCAGACCCTGACTAGTGTCACTCACCTTCACGACCTCCTGACCTCACTTCAGGTGTGTATTTCACAGCCGATATTATATATGCTGATGTGCCAAATCATTTTGAAAATATAAATATAAAAGAATACATCTGAACTGACATCTTAAAATACAAAAATACAGTAAAAAGAGGATACAAATGTAAAAATACTGTAAAAACTGTAATATTGTGAAATATTATTACAATTTACAAATAACCATTTTCTATTTTAATATATTGTAAGTTATTCCTGTGATGCAGAGCTGAATTTTCAGCATCATTACGCTAGTCTTCAGTGTCACATGATCCATTATTTTAATATGCTGATTTGCTCAAGAAACATTTCTGATTATTATTAATGTTGAAGACAGTTGTGCTGTTTAATATTTTTACAAAGTGCAAAAGAACCGAATTTATTTGAAAAATATATTTTTTGTAACATCATAGATGTCTTTACTGTCACTTTTGATCTTTCGATATATTTATTTTTAAAAAAGCACACTTCTACTATGCTGATTTGCTGCTCAAGAAACATTTATTATTATTATCAATGATGAAATCAGTTGTACTGCCTAATATTTTTTTTGTGGAAACCCTGATAGAAAGAATGCTTAAAAGAACAAAATGTATATGAAATAGAAATTGTTTGCAACATCATTGATGTCTTTACTGTCACTTTTGATCAATTTAAAGCATCCTTGCTGAATAAAAGTATTAATTTATTTTTTATCTGATTGGTAGTATATTATAAATTACGCAAAAAAAAGTAGATTTATTTATTTTTTGGGTCTGGCTTCCAAATTACGCAGTCTTGCAGTCTGTGCTTGGCTCTACTATCATATGAACAATCTCTGACGCACATTAATATGTGGCTTTCACAGTTTTACAATGATTCCACTTTGTTTAATTTGTTCTACAAATCACACTGACATTCCCACACATATGATTGTTGATGGGCCGAGAGCTCTCTTGTAATGACGACCTACAGCATACGGTTTATATTAATAAGGCTACCATCTTCCCCCGTGTAGTGATGCATGCTGAAAATCCGTAGGCCCTTTGGAGACTACAGGAGTGACTACAGGTCTGGCCTGTGCCACTGCTGAGTCAGAATCAGATCCCGATTCACTCATTCGCTAAGGCTATGTGTATACCAATCAAACAGCAACCTACAGAATGGACTGTTCCATGAGCTTTTTTTTTTGGTGGATCGACGAGGAAAATAATTGGGGGTGTTTTCAATAGTGGCCCACGGGTTAAAGTCAACGTGAAATGCAACACGTGTGACTTCTATAATGATTTTACAGTGAAACTGGATATTTAGTGAGAAAAAAAAAATGATTTTTATTCATCAGGTATTGGTTGAAGCACAAAGCGTGGATGTTGAATACTGGAAAAAGTTCAATTTACCTAAAAATTATAAATAGTTTTTTTCATGCACCCATGAATCATATGATAAATAATACATATGAATATGGTTAATTTGGATTTTATGTTGACTTTAAGTTCAGGAGGAAGACAAAGAAGCTAAATTTCGTTGCATAGTTCACCAGAAACGGTTTAAAATCGAGCTGGTTATGCATAGGATTGGGTTACTATGCAAATATTATCATTAAACTCAATAGCTGATAGAACATTGAAGTGATTTGTGCATCATGGTTGCCACCGGCTCTATTCCAGTACTGGGGGTGGAGCTTGGAGGCAGGTTCTGTGCCAGAGTGCCGATACTAGACAAAAAACTGAGTCTTTAACAGGATCGCTTCTCCCAAGTGAAATGCAACACGTGTGACTTCTATAATGATTTTACAGTGAAACTGGATATTTAGTGAGAAAAAAAAAAAAAAAAGATTTTTATTCATCAGGTATTGGTTGAAGCACAAAGCGTGGATGTTGAATACTGGAAAAAGTTCAATTTACCTAAAAATTATAAATAGTTTTTTTCATGCACCCATGAATCATATGATAAATAATACATATGAATATGGTTAATTTTGATTTTATGTTGACTTTAAGTTCAGGAGGAAGACAAACAAGCTAAATTTCGTTGCATAGTTCACCAGAAACTGTTTAAAATCGAGCTGGTTATGCATAGGATTGGGTTACTATGCAAATATTATCATTAAACTCAATAGCTGATCGAACATTGAAGTGATTTGTGCATCATGGTTGCCACCGGCTCTATTCCAGTACTGGGGGTGGAGCTTGGAGGCAGGTTCTGTGCCAGAGTGCCGATACTAGACAAAAAACTGAGTCTTTAACAGGATCGCTTCTCCCAAGAACCTTTTTGTTTGGTCTCCCCCCTGTGAAAACGCAAATAGGTGTCCTTGCGTAAAAACAATCGATTATTTCCAATGACAGAGGCTTTTCAGTCTCTACTGTGATGATGAAGTCCTCTGATGACTGTCATGTTCAACTGGAGTTCATATTGGTCACAAACAGGGGACGATCTTGCACCAAAACGAAAAAAAAGAAGAAAAAAGTTAGGAAGCAAGCTTGGGTTTGTATGTTTTGGTGACTTCCTTTGCGCCGAACAAGCCCGTCAGCTTTTCCATTTCACACGCGTCTAAGCGCTTTCCCCCCCAACTATTAGATTTCTTCCTCTGATCTGAAACTGCTTTGACATAGTGAAGTGAAACCTGTGCCTGTTCAACACCTGGGTTAATCGATGTCAGGCTAGGGCGAATACTCAACTGGATCCACCGGTTCCAAGGGAATTAAGCCATAAATAAGGAAATGATGGGAACTGCCTACAACAGGCTTAGAGCCCAATATTTCCACCTGCCTGACACTCCGTCAAAGGTTGTGGGATGACTGTGTGCGTGTTCTCTATATGCTTCATCTGCAGCTCAGTGTATCAGTATTCATGTGACATACGCCGATAGTAGGCTAATTCTCATCAATTCAAAAGCATACTCTTGGCAGAGGCGTCATGACTTCTCCTAATGCGCAATAAATGCGGTAATGAATCATTCCTTTATTTACAAACGAGAGTCATAAATGTTGATAAAAGTGCGAATTATGAGGGGTTTAGGGTGTCCATTATTGAAACAAATGGGGGGTGGCGGGGGGGTCTTAAAAATATGCAACTAATTATTTTCCCCATGCGTTTCAAAAGCATTTTAGAACGTTTTTGTTAACTACAAAGTTAGATTATAAGTTAGAGTGCGCTAAATATATAGCCTATTGCAACAATTTGATCGCTGTCTATCTCCAACAAAAAAATAAGTAGGCTTCTATCATAATTACTCGTTAATAAAGATTTACCAATCACAAATATATAACAAAAAAGGCTATAGCCAAATTTGTGGTTGTATATATAAATTGTGGTTCTACAATATATATATTGTAGGGAGAGAGAAATTTTTTTTTTAAGATTTAGTTTACTATTAGGCCTATCTCTGTGTGTGCGCTAGAGTCGCCAAAACTCAAACTGGAAATCTGAACGATTGCGCCCAGAAAAATAGTCAGACTCCCCCCCCCCCTTATTGTTGTATGTAGGTTAGGTAGTATGTATGTATTTTAAACAATTCGCATACTGTTAGCGACGAATCGGCTACTTTTACAGTCGCCGGACAATGTACGAAATATTTGTTTTACGCGGGACCGAAAGCAATCACCTGTTGCTGTGGTTCCCTCAATTAGCGGTCGGGTTCATTTCTGTTGGCGAGCGATACATTTAGCGCACTCTGACTTGTAAGGTACGCACTTGTAACTTGTAATGTAACTTTTTGGTTACTGAAACGATGCTTGAAAACGCTGCAGACACGCACGTATACTTGCATGTGAAAAGAACAAACAGACCCCACACCTTTTTCTTTAACCTGTTTTGAGGGCGTTAACCCTTAAATAAGAGGGGTCAAACTCCCCCATAATTCGCACCCTCATCCGGACGCGTCCTGGACCTGTCAAAACAGAATACACAGACGCATAAACCATTTAAACAAAGAAAGGAAAACCTTGACATTCGCAACGGACGTTTTAGCTTACCTTTATCAATGAACGGGGTGCCACTCATCCATCTGATATGGAACGTCTAAATGCTGTGTATCCAATGCAGTGCGATAGACGCGCAGCAATAGTGATTCCTTTCGCCTGCTTCCTCCATCTTCAGAACGGACAGCAGCGAGCCAGCGACCGGCTGACTCAGAGAAACGGATCTATCAGTGCCACTCGGTAATCGATTAGACGCCTTATCAGTGCATTTAAAATGCATTTGGCATGATCTCCACTATTCAGATATCTATAGGAACGAATAGGAAAGAAGAGAAACTGGGATTAAACCTGTTATTCCAAACCCCGTGGCATGTTATAATATATCCACACCTTTTGTTATAAGAAAGTTTGTAATTATTAAGATAATAAGCCTTTATTACGATTATTTTGTTTACTTTTAGGTATTTTAGATCATGTAATGACCACTGATGGGGTGCTGTCCCTTACACATCCTCATTATGCCTCTGCAGTGGTTCCTTAGCCTATATAGGCCACATAGTTTTCGTTTTTTTTCAAACATTTTTCTAATGGGAAAGAAGAAGGTGAGAAATGAGTCACAATTATTACAGGCAAATTGATTTTTATGTTAAAAAAAGATTCAGGGTGGGCATCAGTTTAAATGGCAGTGATTCTTCTCTTGGGCCCCCTCTACTGACCGGAGAGAGAAATACACCACTGACCTAGTTGGATTCCTGTCAGAACTGTGGAGAGCTGGTGATGCCAGTGAAGTACTTTTTGCAAATACTGAGGAAATCACACATTATTCAAATTAATGCCAACACAATACATATCAGATCAAATTTTAAGATAGATCTTTATATATATAAAAAAAACTTTGAACTGTAATTTCAGTATAACTAGCCTATACAGTCAGTGAAACCAGCGCCACTAATGATCTTGTCATTTTCTTGATCATCCTTGGAGAGTGAATCAGTGCGGTCGTTAGGATCTGCATAAGAATGGCATTGAGATGTTTCACCGAGATGAATAGTTTGTAACAGAAGGAAATGAAGCAGGTCATATTAGTCATGAAAGGTTGTGCATTTCCATTTTTCATTGTTTCTTTTACAGTAAATTGAAGATGTGGATATTAAAATGTATTACTGTAAGTGAGGTGCTTTAAGAGGGTTGCATTTCTTTCACTAAGTTCTCTTTCCTTGACTGTTTGGTGATGTGAACTGAAACATGCCTGTTCAACACCTGGATCAACCTAAAGTTTTTAACTAAGGTTTAAAATGGTTTAAGAAATGTGCTATTTTTGTTTTATACAAAAATAGTTTAATCAACCATTTTAAACAATCAAAATGTCAATAAAAAAAAAAGTGAAACAAGTGAATGAAAAAATAAAACCACACAATTATAAAAATAGATCACCATTTAAAATGGTTTAAGAAATTGCGCTCTTGTTACTGCATGCAGAAAAAAAACCGGTTTAATCAATAATTTGATTAAATACATACATGCATAAACAAACAAACATTTTACCACAGTAACAACTAGGCAAACAATTGTACAATTAGGCTGAGATCATTTCTCACCCACAAATATTTATAAAAGTGATCTTGTGGAAAATGAACAAAAGTTGATTTGCTTTGAATAATTTAATAAGGTCACCGTTTACATGTGTTCAACTGTGTTTTTTGAGGCTGCATTGTTTGTTTACACTACCATCAGCTCTCTGATTTGTAGAAGTATCCTCAGATAACAATCAGTTGCTTTTGTTCAGAAGCTGCTGGTTAACTTTCCATGGTTTATAGAGCACTGTTTGAAGTAGAGGGGAAACCGTTAGACGCCACCCTCTCCCCTACCTTTCTTTTATGTCTTTATATATTTTTATTTTTTTCTTCTTTACATTGCTGTCTACTTTTCTCTCTTCTTTAGGTTTCAGCCATCCAAGAATTACCGCATTCATTCTGTAATGGTTTCCACAGTCTTGCATGATCATAATACATTCAGTGCCAGTAAAACGGACAGTCTCCCAGAGACTTAAGCTCAGTCCCAAACAAGGATTCTCAGGTGAGTGTCAGCATCATTTAGGTTTAGTGAACCATTTTGGCTGTAACTGGATTCAGTAGATGACTAAAATTAAATTCAACAGATTTGATTTAAAGGCTCATCATGGTCATGATGGACAGGAATAGTTACACATTAATAAATAATAACATAAGAATAAAAATTACTATCAAACATGTTTTTTTACATGTAAAGTTAAACAATAGACTATGAAATGCGAAATCAAATCAGTCACACAATTAAACAAAAAGATTATAAGTAAATAAAGCAGATAATTTAATTTAGGAGGCAATGTAAAGATTTAGTAGATGATTTTAAATACACTGTACATACTGTCAGGGCACATATTGACAATAGAAAAGCAAATGTGCTAACTGAAGCATGAAGTTCATTGTACATCCTGTGCTGGTTTAATCATGGGTAACGAGGTTCACCCAATGTATGTAAAGTGTGTTGTACATAAACTTAAACAATACTTCTTATAGTTACATGGGTTGAATTTCGTTTTTATTGTATTCTGTATTTGTTAGGTGTTAAAAACATGAAAAACAGTTGCATGTTTTTTCCTTGCACTTAGGTTAAAGGTAAAAGGTCCCCTTAAAAGAATAGTTCACCCAAAAATGAAAATGTACTTACCCTCAGGACATCTAGGATGTAGATGAGTGTTTCTTTATTGAAACAGATTCTGTAAACTTTAGCATTACATGACTTGCTCACCAGTGAATCCTCTGCAGTGAATGGGTGCCGTCAGAATGAAAGTTAAAACAGCTGATAAAAACATCACAATAATAAACAAGTACTCCAGACAACTACAGTTCATTAGTTGTCTGACGTGTGACGTTTGCACGTTTGAAAGAAACAAATTCACCACTAAGACGTTTCAGTATTGAAACAGATTCTGTAAACTTTAGCATTACATGACTTGCTCACCAGTGAATCCTCTGCAGTGAATGGGTGCCGTCAGAATGAAAGTTAAAACAGCTGATAAAAACATCACAATAATAAACAAGTACTCCAGACAACTACAGTTCATTAATTAATGACTTCTGACGTGAAAAGTTTGCACGTTTGAAAGAAACAAATTCACCACTAAGACGTTTCAACTTCAAACCAAATCCTCCATCCATACTAATGCTTTCTCCAGTAAAAAAGTTGTCTCATCATGAAAGAAACAGGATGGACTTTTTCACTGGAGGAAGCATTATTATGGATTGTGGACTAGTGTTTTGGCCAGAAGCAATGGTTTGAAGTTAAGATACCTTAATGATGGATTTGTTGCTTACAATCATGCAGATTTGAGCTTCATTATTGATGGACTGGAGTTGTGTTGATTGTGTCAGATAAACATAGATTAATTACAATTTAATCACAATTACGAAACAAGTTTAAGAACAAAAATCTTTTTTTTTATTGTAGTGTGTGGGTGCTTACATATTTTCACTTATTCAATAATTACTGAATCACTATTGATTTAATCACCTTACACAAAAGTGAAAATCATAAACAAGTGTAAATGTACGATCATTTCAGGGATTGCAATTAGCCACATAAAATGTAAATCAAATGACCTCAAAATTGATATTTTGTACTTACACTCCAATAGATTAATGCAAGAAAATTTTGCAGTGCATAGCAACAGCAGGTGTTTGAGAAAATGCTGTTGCATGTGAGTGTTTTGACATACACACGCAGACACGCACACGCGCGCACGCACACACACACACACACGCGCACACACACACACACGCACACACACACAAATAGGCCTTTTAGCACAGGATACCTTTAAGCCCTTTAAGCCCACAATCAATTAAATTATACACCCGTGAGTCTATTACTCTTCCTCAAAATGTTCAGTGTCAATAATTACTGAATCACTATTGATTTAATCACCTTACACAAAAGTGAAAATCATAAACAAGTGTAAATGTACGATCATTTCAGGGATTGCAATTAGCCACATAAAATGTAAATCAAATGACCTCAAAATTGATATTTTGTACTTACACTCCAATAGATTAATGCAAGAAAATTTTGCAGTGCATAGCAACAGCAGGTGTTTGAGAAAATGCTGTTGCATGTGAGTGTTTTGACATACACACGCAGACACGCACACGCGCGCACGCACACACACACACACACGCACACACACACACACGCACACACACACAAATAGGCCTTTTAGCACAGGATACCTTTAAGCCCTTTGTACTCTACATATACAATCAATTAAATTATACACCCGTGAGTCTATTACTCTTCCTCAAAATGTTCAGTGTACAATAATAGTAACATTTTGGATTCCTACTGGGCACAAAAAAAAAAAAGATTCATAATTCACTACCAGTCGGTCAGTCATTTCAGCTTTCTAATAAACTTTCCAGTTCATTCCTGCAGTAGTTTATCTCACTTCTTTCAATACTGTTACTCTTGGGTACTCTCTATTTTTCTCAACTAGATTCACTTCAACATAACTCATATTGATAAAATAGGATTTTATTGTCTCTATCTATCAGGGTTCGATGACAGAATAAGGATTTTACAAAGGAAATATAAAGCCAAAACATGTCTGGATTAGGATGAACTATTTCTTCAGAACAATCATCTCCTATGACTTCAGTATGATTCAGAATAATGTCACAAATATATATGGTTCCTCTGTTCACCGGTGGAGTTATGGCGACTGATTTCCTCAGATGATTTTACAGCATTCCCTATAAGCGCAGTCCCTTCTGTTTTTAATAATCAGAACTATTTTGTGGCATGAGTCCTTATGTTTCTAAAAGCATTTAATTATTCTCCACTTAAAAAAAAACAAAGTCGAGGAGGATCTATCGTGATTAAGAGGTCTCAAAATAAATAAAAAAACACCTAAGGAAATCTGACAAAAGTGTGGATCATATGATTGAGCTTGACTATCGTGGTTGCAAAAACTAGAAGCGAAGTGAGTCTCATTACCGCTAAACTGAAATGAAGGAATTTGTTTCATCTTCATCTGGCATTTGCTTGTGCACGTTTAACAACATGCAACACAAATTCAAGCTTAAAAAAATGTGTCACAAAACCACTGATTAGAAAAACAGCCTAAACCACAGGCCTCGTTTTCCTCATATTCTAATTGAGGATGTTTTTTCTTTTTTGCACTCACCTCCCCCAGTTCCAACCCTCTGTACCCCAAAGCGCACACACATAAAAAAAAATACAGATATGTATGAACAACAACTGTCTCTGCACTCTTTCTAATGTTTTGCACTATATTTGTACTCTTTACATTTGATCTTCATCTGGCATTTGCTTGTGCACGTTTAACAACATGCAACACAAATTCAAGCTTAAAAAAATGTGTCACAAAACCACTGATTAGAAAAACAGCCTAAACCACAGGCCTCGTTTTCCTCATATTCTAATTGAGGATGTTTTTTCTTTTTTGCACTCACCTCCCCC